ATCACTTGCTGTGCATCTGAGAGCTGGACAGTGAATAAGGATGACAGAAGAAGAATTGATGCCTTTGACCTGTGGTGTTGGAAGAGCACTGAACATCCCATGTGCGGCCAAGACAACAAACAGATATATGTCTTGGAGAAGATACAGCAGAGTGCTCTTTGGAGGCAAGAATGGTGAGGCTTTGCCTCACATACTTCAGGCATGTTGCCAGGAGGGTCTATTCCTTGGAGAGGGACATGATGCTGGGAAGGATGGAGGGTCAGCAAAGGACAGGAAGACCCTCAGCCACGTGGATTGACACAGTGACTGCTGCAATGGGCTCTTGTGTATTAGGAAGTTTGAGGATGGTGCAGGATAGAATAGGGTTCAGATCTTTTGTACCAAGGGTTGCTATGAGTCAACTCGATGGCATCTAACAACAGTATTCATTCCAATGCAAGTTTCAGCGTCTCTTCTGACATCCATTTTTATCTTTTCTCCCATCACTGTCTTTATAATGAGCTTTTTCTTTCTTCATGGCTGATGTCCTTGGTGTCATTCCACAACTTGCCTGTTCTTTCATCCTTAGTACTCAGTGCATCAAATCTGTTCATAAGATGGTTTTTAAATTTAGCTGGAGTGCACTCAAGATCATACTTTGTTTCTCATGGACTTGTTTTCATTTTCTTCACCTTCATTTTGAACTTTCATATGCATAGTTAATGATCTGTTCCACAGTCAGCCTGTGTTTTAACTTCTCCAATGTCCCTTTCCACAGATGTGCTCAATAAGAGTTCTGTGCAGTCTATTGGGTGAGATCCATGTATATAGTCACCATTTATAGTCTTTAAAGTATTTACAAAAACTAAATCATTCATTGTACAAAGTGGCAAAAAGTTGTGTTAAAACCCAAAGGCATGCGGTTCAAGACCACCTACTGCTCCATGGGAGAAAGACGGGCAATCTCCTCCCATGCTATTAACTGCCTCTGAAAACCTGCCAGAGGGTCAGCTATCAGTCGATTCCAACTCAATAATTCACAAGTCATTCTTTGTTTCCAACTTTTGTATTCTGGTCACCAATTGATTATATGTTCAAACAGTTTCAGACTGCAAAAGTTGTTAGAGATCCTCAATTTCTTCATCTTTAGCTTTTGTGGTTACTGCAGATTTGAATAATAGTTTTAATAACAGGACTCCCTTGTATGTGTATGGATAATACTCTACCATGCACAGACAGCATTGTACTTCAGAATAAATCTTTAAATGCTCTCTATAGGATGAATGTTGTATCATTCCTCTCCAGTTTGTCATTTCTGGTACAGTAGTAGATCTTGTGATTGTCTGATTCATAATGGCTGATACCAATCCATTTCAGCTCGCTAATGCCAAGAACGTTGATCGTTATGCATTGCATTTCATTTTTTTTACAATTTCCAGTTTTCCTGGATTCAAACTTCATATATACTGTGTTCCAATTATTAATAGATACTTACAGCTTTTTCTCCTCATTTTTCTTCATCTTTGTCAGGTCTTCTTTGGGTGAATGCTTTACTCTATTCATATCATCGAGGCAGACTGTGCTTTAAAGAGATAGCTTTTCCATCGTCATATTTTGTATGCCTTCTAACCTGGGGGTCTCATTTCCGAGTACTTTATCCAACAATGTTCTTCCATTATTCATAGGGTTTTTGAAGGCCTGTTATATCAGATGTGGATGGCCAGTTCTGCTTCTTAGTCTGGAAGCTCCACTTAAACCTGTCCACCATGGATGGTCCTGCTGGTATTTGAAATGCTGGTAGCATCTCTTCCAGTATCCTAGCAACATGCAAGCCACCAGGGTGCAGGAATCTAACAGACTAGTGGTCGACCCCCATTTTACAGACAAAAGAACAGGCTGAGAGGAGTAAAGCAGCTTGTCCAAGGTCATGCAGTCAAGGACAGAGCCAGGCTTTGAATCCAGGTGGCCTGGCTCCAGAGTTGGCTGTCTCCCGCTGCATTTTATTGCCTCCTAAGATTTATCACAACTTATTTCACCAGCCCCCTATCATTGCACCTTTAATTTATTCCTCTTTTGATGATGGTGATAAATCATCCTACAAAAAATATCTTTGTGTTCCGGTCTGGTCATCTCCTGAGGGCTAATTAAATTTCAAGACTGCAATATCAAGGGAATATGCCCACTTAAAATGGTAGTGTGTCTCACCACATCAGCCCCTGCACCAAAGGTTATCCCGTTACTCACCCTGACCAACAGTGAATAAATAGTATTTATCTCCCTCTAAACTCGCCAGTCTGATGAGTAGGAAAAGAATCTCACATTGGCGAATTTCTTTGTTCATTAGACACTTTTCATATGTTTACGAACTGTTTGTACTTCTTGTCTAAATGATACATTCCTGTCCTTTGGGGCTCCCTTCTCTGGCAGGTCTGAAAGAATCTTGTTTGAAAACAGCATGTTCACCTTCTTAATACCTCCTCTCCCTCTTTCGTCTCATTAGTACTGCACTCCTTTCTTGAGGCTGCAGTAACAAATTACCACAAAGCTAGTGACTTAAGACAACAGAGGTTTTTTGTTTTCTTTTGTTTCTATCACTATCTGGAGGCTTCTTGTTGCTTTGTGCCATCAAGTTGGAACCAACCCATAGCTGACCTTCTAGGCAGGTTTTCAGAGGCAGTAAATTGCATGGGAGGAGATTACCCATCCTCCTATGGAGCAGCCGGCGGATTCAAATCACAATCTAAAGGCTCTTGTTGTTGTTGTTATGTGTCTGCCATGAGTCACCTGCAACTTATAGAGACCCTATGTACAATAGCCCTAAACCCTGCTCCATCCTGTGCCAATCTCATTGTCTCTGACACACCTACCTCCATTACCCCAATCACTGAATCAATCCATCTCATCGAGGGTCTTCCTCTCCTGCACTGTCCCTCCACCCTGCCAAGCATGACATCCCTCTCCAATAACTGGTCCCTCCTTGCACCATGCCCAAAGTGTGTCAGAAGCCTCAGAATCCTTGCCTCCAAGGAGTAGACCGACTTCACCCTCTCCAAGACAAACCCGTTCATTCTCTTAGCAGTCCATGGTATATTCAATACTCTTATCCAGCACCACAGCTCAAAGGCATCAATTCTCCTATCATCCCTAATCATTTGTCCATCTCTCTGATGCACAGCAAATGATTGCAAAGACCATGGCATGTATCAGGCACACTTTAGTCTGACAGCATTGCTCTTCAGTACTTTAGAGAGGTCTCTAACTGCAGATTTCCCATCAAAATAAGTCTAGAAGTAAAAAATTAAGAGGTTACAAGGTCATGCTCCCGCCAAAACTTTTATGGGTGGAGATCTTTCCTTGTGTCTTCTAGCTTCTGGTAGTCCCACTCCAATCTCGTCCTCCATCTTCCCTGCGTCTATTCTCTTCTTCTTACAAGAATGCTAGTTATATTAGGTTAGGGCTCACCTAATTCAAATATGATCTGTACTAATGAGTTTTACCTGCAAGAATGCTATTTCTGAATACGGTTCACAGTCACTGGCACCAACAGTTAGGACATGAATATATTTTGGAGGGAGTATACAAATCAATTCATGATTCATTCCCCTGTTTCTCACCTTCAGTTGCCTCCTTTTCAGCTTCAGGCCAACAGCTCTTGAGCCAGAACCATTACTCCACGGAGCACTGGCATTGTCTCTTCCTTCCTCTGATCTCTGTATCCTCGTAGCATCTGCAGCCACAACCTGGGTAGTTCAAGGCCTTAGTCCATGTCTTCACCTGAGTCCCAAAACTCCCCAAGCTCTGGATCGGCACTTCTGTGTATTCCAAGGAACTAGATCTCTAATCTTATTCCCTATTAATAATCATTCAACATCAATATAAGAAACACATGATTAGGAAATCCATTTAGGAAACATCGTACCAATATAAAGTTCAGATCTATCTTTACTGCGTGACTGCTCAGGACCATATAACCATATACACTGAGGCTCAGAGAATAAGCAAACAATAGTACACAGCTTTTCCAAACTAATTTCCCAATGGGGAGCTCTGGTGGCCTGGTCGGCCGGGAAGTGTGCTGCGAACGCAAAGGCAGCTCCTCTCTCTGGCAGTTTGAATTCATCAGAGAATCTGAGAGGAAAAAGATGAACAGTCTCCTCCCATGCGATTTACATCAGCTATGTGTCAGTTCTGATTCAATGAGCTTGAGGTTTCGTTGTGTTTGTGGTTTGTTTTTTTTTTTAATTTCCCAGTCAAACTCGTTGGTTTTTTTAGGAGCAGTTTATAGAACTAGTGTTCTCCCAGTGTAACTGTTCTCTCAGTATAACTAAGAACTAGTGTTCTCCCAAGCCCTGCTTCAGGGTGTACAGCTTCATCTCCTTTCCATCTGACCTCCACTGGCGATGCCCTCGGACCTCAGAGACTTGCCTTATGGGAAGGAGACTTGAACCTGTCTCTAAGATAACAAACTGAAACAGAAAGGAAACAAGGTACCCCAAGAAACTCAGCCACTTAATCAACTGGAAACCACTTCTTTTCTGAACATTCTTTCTGCAATATTATCTGCAAAACATGGTAGGTATTATCACCTCTATTTTACAGATGAAGAAACTGAGGCTCAGTGTCATAATCACCCCAACTAGCTAGTAATAGCAGATATTATACTCAGAAGGGTAGAGGGACAGCTCAGGAGAGGAAGACCCCAGATGAGATGAATTGATACAATAAGTGGAGCAATGGGGGTTGGTGTGTTGGAATCAGTGAGACTGGCTCAGGACACAGCAGGACTCACAGCTGCTGTATATAGAGTCGTTATGAGTCACAGGTGACTCAACAGCACCCAACAACAACAGCTAGCAAGAGATGGAGACTTGATCCATGTCATTTTCATTCTAAACTCTTGGTCTTATCTGTCTCAGGATAATTCATAGATTCAAATCAAATTTTTCCTGTTGGTCTTGAGAAGGAGCTAAAGAACTAACACTGTTGAATCCATCTGACCCCTCTCCTTGTCCTCCGTAAAGGTGCTGCATTACGATTGGCAAGTTCCCGGAGCCTGACCCAACACCCGAGGAGCACCAGCCTTGGACGGTCGCAGATCATGCTCAGGGAAGAATCAGCAGCAGGAGGAGATGCAAAATTTCAAAACCCAAGTAAGAGCCATTTTGGCTGTGTTCAGAATCCTGGGATCCTGAGGTTACAGTAGCTTCATGTCCAAGACACCAGAGGCTTCTCCACTCAGGGCCCTTGGGAGGGCCCAGGTCTACCAAGTGTTCTGAGGCCTGATGTAAGGGGCTTAGCATGACTTAAACACAACACCATTAATACAGCCGCCCCAAGAGTTCTGGGAGCCAGAGAGATGCACCTCCTCCCTGCCCATGTGCTCACGCCATCTGTCTTAGTTACCCAGGGCTGCCATAACAAAAACCACAAGTAGGTGGCTTTAAAGAATAGACATTTATTCTCTTACAGTCTGGAAACTAGGAATCAAATTCAAGACATCGTGGGCAAAGTTATGCTCTTTCCTTCTGTTAGTTCTAGGGGAAGATTGTTGTCTTCTGTAGCCCTGGCAATTCTTGGCCTGTGAGTCTCTCAATGCCTGTACTGTATTCTTTTTTAAAAAGATATCACCAAAATGGATTTGGGTTTCTGTTGGCTTAGTCCATTGGGGGTTATGCTGCTAATCCAAAAGCCTTGCCTCTCTGGCAGTTCAAATCTACCAGGATTCTTCAGCAGGAAGATAGGCGATCTCCTCTCATGTGATTTACAGCATCAAAATTCCACTGGAGGGCCAGCTATGAGTCAATTCCAACTCAGTGGAAGAAAGGATGATGAGAAGGGATTAGGTTAATCCCTTACTGCCCCAATATGCCCTCATGAACATAACCAAAGAAAAACCATATATGCATAGAGTCACATTCACAGGTCCACGTGTTAAAACTTCCATATAGATTTTTGTGGACTCACAATCTATAAAACATCATCCCCACCTCTCTCCTTTCAGAATCTGCCAACACTGGTGGATTTTCTGCCATCGGGCACCAAGTGCCAGGGAACCTAAGAAGCAGGGGGGAAGGCAAAGAGGCAGTGCCACCTGTTTGAGTCCTGCCATCTGCTTCTTTCAGGAATCCCAACAGCTGGCTTTTAGTCTTCACTGGATTGGATTATGTCTAAGCTCAGGTCCTTAAAAAGCCACACTTTTATCTTTTTGTGGCCTAAAGCCACTGGCTTTGCATAAATTTACAGAATACCTTCGTGTCCTAAATGTATGTGTGTCTGCAGAAACAACCAACTGCTGCACTAGTCCTACCTCTTTCCTGGATGCCCCGTGGGATGTGCATGAGTGAAATATCTGAGGTCCCACCTAACCACAGGCCCCAATCATAAGAAAGTATTACCTTAAGACTTAGAAAGTACTGGAAACAATGATGGGTATAGAAGGACCCCTGCATGAGGAGGCAGAACTGCAGAAGACTTCAGAACTAAGGTTCTTCTTGTTGTTATGTACTGTTGAGTTGGAACCAACTCATACTGACCCTCCAGCAGGTTTTCAGAGGCTATGAATCTCTCCCATCTTTCTCCCTCAGAGCAGCTGGTGGATTCGAACCATGTGCCTTTGATAACAGTGCAACTCCTTCCCCCCTCCCCCCCCGCCCCGTTTTGGTTTGGTTTTTTTATTTCTTTTAAATTGATTTAAAAACAAAATTCATATACATTGTGTTTTACGCTTTCCTTCATTCACATTGATTTCATACAAACTTAATCCCTATTGAATTATGCCCACCATTACCCATTACTTTCAGGTCCTTACCGTTATCTTTCCTATTTCCTTTACCATCCTCCTCCACCCACCAAATTATATGACCCCATGATTTCTACCTCTGCCCATCCTAACCTCTCTGCTCCCACCCCTCTCCCCTTGGGTCCCCATAAATGTTTTACTAGTTATCTTTCTGATGTGCCAAATGTGGTAATGGTTACCCCTAGTGGACAGTGTTTGCTAGAGCTTCCCAACTAAAACAAGCCTGGATGCAGGAGCAGCATCCACTTCTGAAATGGCTTGCCTCTGGAAACTCTATGTACGAACAGTGCTCAGGCCTTTCATTCATAGGGTCACTATGCATCGTCTACAACTTGACGGCACCTAACAACAACAATTATCTTTCTATTTTTAGAATAATGGTCATATGCAGTATTTGTCCTTATAGACTGAATTAGTTTAATCAGCATGCTGCTCTTCAGTCTCTCCTAAGTTGTGTAGTAATTTTCAAAATTGTTGCTCCTGAGTGCTGCATAGTATTTCATTGTGCGTATGTACTACAATTACTCGATCCATTTGGTTGTGGTTGGGCATTTGGGCTGTTTGCATGTTCTTGTGATTGTGAATAATGCTGATATGAAAACTGGTATACAAATGTTCGTTTGTGTCTTAGACCTAATTTCCTTGGGGTATATTCCTAGCTGTGAATAGCTGAGACATATTAAATTTCTAAGTTCAGCTTTTGGGGGAAACACCAAGCTACCTTCCAGAGTGGTTGTACCATTTTACAATACCACCAACAGTATATGAGAGTCCCTATCTCTCCACATCCTCTCCAACATGGATTGCTTGCTGTCCTGTTATACTTTGCCACTGCTACTGGGGTGAGATGGTATATCATTGTGGGTTTTATTTGCATCTCTCTTATTGCCAGTGATTTTTGAGCATTTCTCCATGTGACTGTTGGCCATCTGAATGTCTTCCTCTGTGAAAAGTCTTTCCATGTCATTTGCCCATTTTGAAATACACTTAACAGTCTTTTTTTGTGGAAGCCCTGTATTATTCTGTAAACTTTTGTTATGAGACCTTTGTCTATGATGATATTGCCAAATGTTTATTTCCCAGTCAGTAGGCTTTCTTTTCACCCTATTGGAAAATGTTTTTTTGTGCTAGGGATTTAATCTTTAAATGGTCTCATTCATCAATTTTATCTTTTCCTGGTTGTGTATTTCTGGCTGTATTTGTCAGCCTCTTTGTAGTATAGGCTAGGCTTCTAAGCTTGGTCTCACTTTGTCTCTTACAATATTTATGGTTTGGGGCTGTACCCCTAGGTCTCTGATCCACCTTGAGTTTTTGGCTTTTCGCTTTTGTTTTTGTGTTTAGTTTTTTGTTTGTTTGTTTGTTCTGGGGTTTGTTTGTTTGTTTGTTTTGATGTGAAGTGTGGATCTAGCTTTAGTTTTGTGCTGGTAGCATTCCAGTTTTGCCAGCATCATTTGTTGAAGAGGTAGTCATTTCCTCATATGATAGGTTTTGTTTCCTTGTTGAATATTTGTAAGTAGATCTATATATAATATTATATATTCTATATCCATCTATATATAATAGATCTGTATCTATAAATAGATGATGAAGCTCTGGTGACCTAGTGACAAGAAGCTGTGCTGCAATCTTGGAGGCAAGTGGTTTGAGGCCACCAGCTGCTCCACAAAGGAAGGATGGGCAATCTCCTCCTGTGCAATTAACTGCCTCTGAAAACCCACTGGCAAGTCAGCTATGGGTCAGTTCTGACTTTCCGACTCTATGGTACACAACAACAACATAGATAGAGGAGTTATATTCTGTGCTCTTGATTCTATTCCATTGTACCAATACCATGTTGTTTTGGTTATTATAGCTCTGTGTGTGTATGTGTGTGTGTGTGTGTGTGTGTGTGTGTGTGTGTGTGTGTGTGTTTAAGGTTGAGGTTTGGTGGAGATTTTTTTTGATGGTTTTTTGAGGTTTTAAGATCAGGAACTTCTATGCCTCCCACTTCATTGTTGTTTTTCTGAAGTGCTTTGCTTATTCAGAGTTTCTTTCCTCTCCAAATAAACTTGAAAATTTCCTTTTCTATCTGTTTGAAAAATGAGTTTGGTATCTGCATTAGGACTGTGTTAAACATGTATACTGATTTTAGTAAGGTTATCATTTTCACTATATTGAGTCTTTTTATTCATGAACAGGGAACATTTTTCCATTTATTTAGGTTGTTTACTGTTTCTCATAGAAATGTTTGGTAGTTTTCTTTGTAAAGGTCTTTTGTGTCTCTAGTTAGATTTATTCATAAGTATCTCAACTTGTGATTGGCTATTGTAAGTGGTATATTCAATACTCTTCTCCATTACCACAGCTTAAAGGCATCAGTTCTTCTAGCATCCCTAGTCATTGTCCAGCTTTCTGATGCATAGCAATTAATTGCATTAATTAATTAACTAATTAATTAATTCAGACCATAGCCTGAATCAGCGGCATCTGAGTCTCCAGACTGACATCATTGTTATTCAGTACTCTGGATAGGTCCCTAACAGCTGACTTTCCCAATGCAATTCATCTTTTTATTTCCTGGTTGCTTGTGCCAAGAGTGTTGATTGTGGAGCCAAGCAAACTGAAGCTGTTAACAATCTTAATGGCCCAGTGGTGAGAATCTTTCTTTTCTTGATATGGAGTTTCAATCCACATTTAAGGCTATAATCCTTGGAGGCAAGGAATCTGAAGCTCAGTCTGACATACTTTGGGCATGTTGCAAGGAGGAATCAGTCCTTGGAGGAGGATATGTTTGGGAGGGTAGAGGGAGAGTGCAAGAGAGGAAGACCCTTGATGAAATGGATTGATGCAGTGACTAGAGTAACTACCAGAAGTCCAGGCTGGGTTTGGAAGGGGTCGTGGTACCAGGGATATTGTAGCTGATATTAGATAGAGCTTAGCTGAAAGCAGGGAATACCAGAGGAATGTATATATGTGTTTCATTGACTATGCAAAGGCATTTGACTGTGTGGATCATAACAAACTGTGGCTAGCTCTGAGAAGAATGGAAATCCCAGAACACTTGATTGTTCTGATGCAAAACCTATACTTGGACCAGGAGGCAGTCGTCAGAACAGAGCAAGGGAACACTGCATGGTTCAAAATTGGGAAGGGCGTATGCCAGGGATGCATCCTAT